GGCACCATCCCGCTCCAGTGAAGTGCTGGGGAGTGCCCCAGAGGCCAAGAGCTCGCTAGAGAATGAGCCCTACTGACCTTCATCCTCTGGGCTTGGACATCAGAGGCACACACACACACTGAAAATGGATGTGTGCTCAGCTCTACCATGTACGTACGTCGCTGGTAGAATTTTGATGAGATCTGCAGCACAATCAGGTAACTGTGGGTTTGGGTGGCTGCAAAGAACCTGCTCGGCCATCCATCCMTGTGCCTTCCTCCCCCTTCAGCCCCAGGACATGCACACAATGACCAGGAACATCCACTCTACAAATCAAGGCCTTCTTTGCAGTAAGTTTGCTTTTAAGGTCTTAAATACCATGCAGTCCTTTTCTCAATTTATAAYAGGCTGTAATTCTCATTTTTTGTCATTGCCTCCAGGCTTTTCTCCTCCGAGAAAATACAGAGGAGGGATCAGTGGGATGAGAAACACTGAAGTGGCTCAAGATCTCATCAAGGTTGCAACGACTGCTGAAACAAAATGTTCCACCATATGACATGGCCTCTTCTCAGCATCTTCTTCTGGAATAACAACTTGCACTGAATGTGAATRTGGTTCAGGGCAGGGGAAGACAACAGTGCTTTAGAAATGGTGTCACTGGAGTCAATAAGGACCAATGTCCACCTCTCCAAAATGTCTGCTGGTGTAACAATTAAATAAATCTGTGGCTTTGCCTAAGAACTTCAAACAGGGATCAGCATCCAACATGTTTTATATTTTTTAAAGGAAGACCAACCTGTGTCCCCAGCTTGGATGACACACACCCAGTCCTGACTGATCTACTTGCTTCTGAATTTACATGAATCCGCTTCTTTCACTGTAACAACCCTTTTAAACTACAGCTCTGAATATCAAGGGGCAAAAGAACACCTGCACTTTAAAGTTTCATTTCATGTTCTGCAGGGATTTCTTTTGCTTCAAKTTTTTACAGTAACATTTGAAATGTCTAAATCAATCACTTTCTGAAGTGACATGGTTAAGATCTTTAAAAACAGGCACTCTGATGGGGAACTTCAAGGTCTACTACCACTTAGAAGCCTACACCCTATTGAAAGTTTGAAAGCAAATTTTGGGTGCCTAAGTCATTTGCTTTTCAGTAAYAAATGTACTGCTAAGAGTAGGTACTGTGTACTGCTACAATCTTTATAATTAATACAAAAGCAGAAAGTGTATGTATTTGTGATACTGAAGCCTAAGGCACTGGAGCAAAAGAGTCTATAATGGGTTCTCCTTGGACTGAGCAAATAAGAAAAAAAGATAGGCTGAAAGCACTTAGGTCCAAACCCTAACCTCTTTAGAGAATATGAGCATGATTTCATATGTGTGTGTGTTTACGCTTTTAAATCTGGCATGACTTAAAGAAACTGAATCCTTCTGTTAGCATCAAGATAATCCACTTTTCTGGAGGGAGAGATAAAAGCAAGTTGGCAGTTGTAAGTGCTCTGATATCCAATTTCTTTAAGAGACTTGAAGTCAGACTGATAGATTTGCAGCTGGCTCCAGCCCATAGCCCTCTACCACAACTTTGGCCTCCGTCAGGGAAAGAAACAGTCTGGAGATGTTTGGAGAAGCTGTGTGGCACTCRGAGGAGTGGCTCCTTCACAGAAAGGATGGAATTGCCAAGGAATAACCCAGCTCTTGAGGGGCTCTGAGCAATGTCTGGATCAGAACTAAGCTCTTGTACCTGCCAGGGATGTCAGGTCCAGTCACACAAAAACACAAYCTGGAGGAGAGTGCCTGAGCAGCCCTTGGGAGATGAGAACACTGTCCTGCATACACACAAGAGCTGGGCATGGCACAAACAGGGCACTCCTGCCCATGGTGCCCTCGTGTTCAGAAGAGAAGGGACACAGACCACTGTTTCCTCTGTGTATCTACACAGGGCAGCCCTGAGCAGAGGGCAGAAGCCCAGCAAGGGYTGCTCCAAAGTTACTTGTACTAGCTTTCGGTTTCAAAAGGAAGAAATGCCACCAGAAGTGCATTCTTGTCTCGCCCTTCAGGGCTGCTAGGCAATATTGTTTGCTTTTAAGAAAGTTTTATGTGAATGACAACAGAAGCTCCTGGTCTGCAGCACTCTGTATTGATTTTATGATGTGCCACTTTGCAGGCATTTCATATAGTGCAGACAAGAGGCATTTCACTGTCTGCAGGGTTAGACGCCCAGACCTTTCCCTCCRCTAACTTAGGCTTCTCCTACTTAAATTGCAGGAGAAATCCTTTTAGTAGGAGCAAGACTGTTACGGTTTCCTGGCAAGCTGCTGAATGTGAATAGGTCACTTGATCTTGCACCTCCTGAAGTTAATGGCGAAAACATACTTGCTTTCAGTGACTGCAATATCATGCTTTTAGTGAGCGCTTTGCTATTTCCTCTTGCAATGCTTTCAAAGTCTCCATCACAGTAGTCCTTTGCCTTAAACAGGGGAAGCAATGAATAGGTCTCCCACAGCGCTGCCAACATCTTCCCAGCCATGTGGTTGAAATTCTAGATGGTGCCAGGGCCYGTGACAGCCGCCAGCTTTGGCCTATGTGGTCCTGTCTCTGGCTGGGAACCCACAGCACTTTTGTCTATCATCATTCTCAGAGCTCACTTTGGACCAATTCGTACTTTTTTTTTTCACTTAAAGAAGCAGTTTTAAATAATGAGACATTATTTAGCTCCTGGAAGAAAAAAAGGGGATTGCAGATTTTTCCACAGCAATTCTGCCATTTCCTTATTTCTTTAACTGACTTCATAGGAAAGTGAGAGCACGTTTTTTACAAAATGCTTGTCCTGTTTAATCCCTGCTGAGTTAGTTGTGGAGTCAAATGCCAGATCAAAAGGAGGCCCCAGCAAGTGAAAGTTGCTGGGAAGTCTCCAGCTGCCAGGGACTCTTCCAGGGACAGCTGTAGGCTAATGGATAAGCTATAAACAGGGCATTTAGGGCAGAAGTGACAATAGAATGGGGCCAGGGTGAACAAAGGAAACTTTTTAAAAGGATGCAAGATAGTGAGAGTTGAACAGCAGAGCTTGTCAGCTGAGCTGTCTCTGACTCACACTGAAAGGCACAGAGCCATGGGCACAGAGCAGTCAGAGGATCCTGCTCTGCCGGCAGGATGTGCTGCTGGTCGAAGGATCAGAGCAGGGGAATGAGGGAGATTCAAGTGCTCAGTTAGAACAATTGCAGAAACGGTATTTTCTCATCAGTTCTAATAGCAGCAGCTTTCTTTGGAGAGGGGACAGAAAGGGGAGATTGGCAAACTGTGCATCACTTCTCTGTTAATCTTAAAAAATGCCTGATGACTGTGGAGCGCCACACTGGACAATTCACGCCCTGAACAGGTCTGGTAAAGCATGTCCAGGTCTCCTACCTGCATCCTGAGTACTGTCACAGTTCAGCACACACTGCCCACGGAGGGGTCTGCGTCACAGAATTTCACGAGCCCACCATCCAGCCCATGTCTCAACACCCTCCAGTGCATGCAGGGGCGCTCAGCCCTGGCAGAAGAAGGGAACCTACCCGCAGGGTGCCCGGGTATCACGAGGCTGTTGGTGGGTAACGCTGGTGGAGGTGGCAGCGTGGGTGGGGTGGCGAACATGGCCGGATGGTGCTGGTGTTGGGTCTGCGATCTGAGAGAGAAGTGCGAGGTAGCAAGATTAGAGATGGAGAGGGGCAGAGCCGGGCCGGAGGAATGGTGTGGAGGAATCTGGGGAGAGAGGGGCAGGTGCTTCGGAAGGCTGATGCTCGTTGCACTGCTAGCACTGCTGCTCCGGCTGCAGAGAGAGAGAGGGGAGGGAGGGGGAGACACAGAGAGAAAGAGTGTTACAATACAGGGCGAAACAGTGCAAGAAATACCAGAAACAACACAACTATGGAACCTCCCCAGGATTATGCTTTTGCTTGTCTTAATGRCAGTGGAGACAGTTAATGAACCTTAATGAACATCTTCAATGGGGCAGAACAGGCCTTGGGCTCTCGGGAGGGACACTTCCTCTGGTGCTACATTCCTCAGAGCTATCCAAAAGTACCGATGAAGGCCACAGAGGCAGCTGGATTTTGTACCTTTATTAAGCCTCTGATGACCTTTCAGTGTCCCTTTCAGTGTCCCTGTGGGTCCTTGTGACCAGGGGAYGCAGTGACACCGATTCCTCTTGCTGTTGCTCTGGGTGCACAGAGCTGCAGGGAATGAGTGACTCTGGGACCATGCTGGATCTGCTGCACATGCGCTGTGCAGTTGCAGTCACACAAGCATGCAAACGCACACCATATTAGTATTTTTTCTCGTAACAGTTTGTATTTTACATCTTCTTCTATCATTATTACTCCACTACAAGTGATTTAAGTTTTGTGGGCTGAAACACGCTATCACTGCAGTCATTAGTTGTGTAATTCCCACAATATTGAATATTTATTGCAAGCTAAACCTCAGAGAGAACTTGGATAGTTTGAAATATTATTCACCACTTATACTATGGTGGCATTTACAAGGTAAAACCACAACAGAGCTTAAGTATGCAGGATACTGTGAAATACACATTAATGGCAGCTCTCTGTATTCATATTCTGACCTTTGTGCAGTCAAATATTATGCTTTAAATCAGCTTTCTCATCCTGTTTAAACTAGCCTAGCTCTTGCTTGGGAGGCAAGGCATGTTTTCTGTAACAGCAAAAAGAGTATACAGGTTCCAGTTGACCAGATAAACTCTTTTCTCTAGAAACATTTTATCCATATCATTTTCACCCACMCTCCTCACTGGATGGAGGCAATTTAAACAGCTGAGCTAAACCTCCTGCAAGATCTGAGCATGTCATATTGAAGCAGATTTATCAGCCCACATGGGAGCCCTGGTCTAAGGGACACAGCGCTTTCCAATACAGATCACAGGATATYCTGAGTTGGAAGGGACCCACAAGGATCAGAGTCCAAGACAGATATCCCTCTTTTGATGCTGGCGAGCCACAAAACCCGATAACCATGAGCAAAATCACTTCAATGGAAGTATTTCTGAATATGGAACAAAGGTGCTGCTCAAAGTCAAACCCCTTAAATTTCTAAGGCAAGAACTTGCCAGCTCAGACAAGACTATGCGAAATTTTACTAGAAGCTGGGCTAAGATGAACAAATGCTTTTCCCGCAGAAGGTATGCATTTATCACCTCATTTATCACGTTTCAAATGCACTGATGAATGCTTGTGGAGTCAACCCATGAAGTCCAATATGCAAAGCATGGACCATCTTACTCCAGATGAGTGCTCATCTCGCCTCCCAGCATTTTCTATCCTGTTTGAAACAAGCTTTAGCCCAGCCTGAAGATGACGCAAGCATCCCTTGCCCTTACCTGATATTATTGAGTCCGTTGTGGGCCACCTGGTGATGCACTTGGTAGTTGAGAGGCGGAGGGATGTGGCTYGGAGGCTGGCTCCGAAGGTCAGGGATTAACTGAGGCTGCGACTGCGGCCGAGGTTGAGGTTGTGACTGTGGCCGAGGCTGCGGCTGAGGCGTGAGCCTGGGTGGTGCTGGTGCTGAAATCACTGGCTCCTTCTTCAGCAGTGGGCTCGCTCTGGCACTTGACGTGGGCGCTGAGGAAGTCGAAGTCACAACGGCAGCGACCGGCTGGGGGCTGGGGATGGGCAGGGCGAAGGGCACGTCGGTGCTCAGCTCCCGGCTCCGCTCTAGCCCAGACACCTTTGGGACACTGGCTGCTTTCGCTTCTGGCTTGTCATTCAAGGTGGGACCTGATGGAGCAACGAGAAAAAGAACAAAGCMCACGCTGAAAGGTTTGCGTTTCTTTCTCTGCTTGGTAGAACATGTGCCTGGGAAAAAAACAAGTCATGTTTCAGCTCGTGGGAGCGCCGTGGGAGCACTGCTGCTACAAGATGGATGTGTGTTTGTGGCTGTCCTTCCGCTGTCCTTGACTGGCCRGTCTACAGTACTTTGAGCATGTGTGCAAGGGACTTAGCTGTCATTGAATGAACACACAGAGCAGAGAACACACCACTTCGTGACTTCTTCAGGGGCCCAAGGTTATGTACAACAGGAGTGTGAGCATGTCTCAAGTTACTGCTACAGTATTTCCTGCTCAATGCAAGTTTCATGTTCGTGAAACATGTGCCAGCCAGATCATTATGACATTTTATTTTCCCAATGCTCTTTCAACCCTAACCCTAACCCTAGCCCACATGGGATTTAGGCTTAACTCCAGCTACAATGCACCGTGACCCATGCATCAATCCTTAATGGTAACCCCACCTGTCTTCCAGGATGGAGGCTACCTGTGATTTCTGTGTAGCAAAGGATGGGACAGCTCTGCAGCAAAGCTGCAACGCTGCTGTCCCCTCGCCACACATTTATATGGAAGAACACAACACTCCAGTTCAGTGAGCACCCAAGTGTAGTCCTGCTCACCTTAAACAGTGCAACCATCTGTGTGCACAGCATGCCAAAACTATCAGGAATGCTGCGATCTTGCAAAGTGCACCTACAGTGGGAATTCCATATGGAATGACTCCTTCTGTGGTGCCAAACCCTGCCATTTTTCATAATCAAGACAAACAAAGCATCCCGAAGAGTTAAAAGACTGGAAAGGAAAAAGGGAGGAAAGAAGAGATATTTCATATCAAGCAGTATCCAAAAGGTTGAAGACAACTGAAAAGACCAACATGAAAGCAATTCAACTCCCACTGTGCCTCCCTTTTCACCCTAATCTGTGTATCCTTGAGTGCACACATGCCCACAATTACAAGAAAAGCTCTTCACAGGCTACAAGAACTAATGCTGTTGGTGTGTTTCACACGCACACATCCCACTGTGCACACACAGCACCTTTGACTTGCAGGAGACACGCTTTTGTTACCCACCCCAACACATTGGGGCTGCCTGCATTTCAATGCTGCACACACACACACAGATGAGATGCTACCTACGCTCATTAACATGCTCTCAACACCCTCACAAACAAATTCCACCTTTGAAATTTTCCCGTCTTATCAAAGGACTGAGGCAGTTCCTGATGTAGGAGGGTGTGGAATAGCACAGAGCACACACCGTGAGCTAATTCTGGCCGTGCTGACGCTCTGACCAGCGTTTGTGAACCAGCCCAAGCGAGGCCAGAGCCCCCAGTGCCACTCCCATAGCCTGAGCAGCTCCATGCTGGCATCAGATGGGAGGGGGACAGCAATGAATCAGAGCCTGCAGCACAGCAGCTCGTGTTCTGTGCCCAGAATGCCCACGTGGTGATGGCATCTCCCTCCCCGAGATAAAAGGCAGCTTCCCACACTGCTTCTGGCTCTGCTTGCACTCTCACCAATGCGCCGTTTCCTTCATCCATCAATCAATCAACTCATCACTGCATATGYAAAAATTCAGAATGTGAGAAGAGGACGAATGGAAACATATGAACTGTATTTATCAGTTRGAAATGTCTTGAGGTCTTGGGGCCTCAAACCCACAAGTAACAGGAACAGAAGCCTTTCCAAACACCAGTGTTTTGGCTGGCAGCAAGTACTATCAACACTGTACTTTCCAGCACCTTATATATCTTTACAGGTTTGACACTATGTCTGGAGATCCTAAATTATTCTCTACAATAAATAAAAGCCTAACTCCCATTTCAGTGAATTTCTTTTTCAAATATGAATTAATGCAGCTCAGGTAACCTGGCTGTGAGATATAGCTAAACTTGGTTCCAATGCTATTTAGAATTTATTTTTAAAGTCAAATTCTCATTGCTCCTGTGCACCATTATTTTTTATAATGCCACCTATGTTTGTAAATTTTCCTCAGATTTTATTACTAACAATTGAAAAATTGTCATTGCCTAGTCAAGCCAGGGCTCCCCACATTGCATTTTGGAGCAAGTGTGCTCACAGCTGTAGATTCCACTATTTTTCAGGAGCTACCCATTAAAAGCAATTGGGTTTCATTCCTGAGCATAGGTTTCCTCAGAGCCCATTAGCTCTTTACATCCAACAGGCCTCCTCCTACAGAGTTAAACTTCATATTGCGTAATTATAGGCAATGCAGACTAATGGTGTATATTCAAAACACACTGGCACCACAAAAGTTAGTTGAGTAAAAAGTCAATTAGATCCAAAACAAATCAATAAAGTCCCACATTAAAAGCAGCTGTTTGACCAGTTTTATGTGCAACTATTGATTCCCTGTGGTTTCAGCATTAGTTCTCATTTGCAATTTTCTCAAAGCAAAAGCTTGGGCTCCCTTGCTGACTGAATTGACCAGCCAAGCCTGGCTGTGTTAGTTAGCACTGGGGGTACATGACTAATTCCTGCTGCCAACTTCCATCTCTCAGGGTGCAGYGCTGCAATGGTTTTGTGTTTCCTTCTCAGCAACAATGAAAATACCCACATGCCAGTTTTCCCACTCCCACAGAAAAGCTACAGGCATGAGTGTGAGTATTTTCTCTCCTTTTGCAGCCATGCTGCACAAAACCAGAAGCATTGAGAAGGGAAGGATACGAGAATTCATGGGTAAGGGTGGAAAATTGTGAGAGAGCAGAATCCCCAAGCCTTTTCAGGCTCTGCATAGGAATGGGACAATCTTGGTGCTTGGTGACTTGGCTGTTTCTCCTCCTGATGGCTGCAGTGCATACATGGAAGTCTCTGAGCTGAAATCCYTCAGAAAGCTAACGTTAATGATTTTAATGAGAGATACTGCCCATTCCAATCAGAATCTCTAACTCTGTAGTTTCTCTGCAGGATGCTTGAATATCCMTCCTAAGAGAACTGCACTCTTGTGTGCCCAAGCTCTGACCAGGCTGGCTGCTGCTCACATATGGAAATATCCCAAGAAAAGCAACCAAATATTCCCTTGGTGCAAGTTGGATCAAGTTGCATTGAGATCCTTTCAGAAATTTCTGTTCTTGGGCTCCTAATCCAGCCCTCCTGAGCAGATGGACCCACGGAGCTGAGCACAACTACCCCAACAAAAACACAGACCCACCCGACAACACCACAATGTTCTAGAGGCAAAAACGTGTTTATTTTTACCAAGTCCTAGAGTAATTTTCATGCTTAATGATAACAGGCTGAGCCAATTTGCCTAAGACTTGACAGTCAGCTCCAATAATTCAACCTTAATTAAACCTGAACGCATGTCAGTTCAGCTTGTCCCTTCACAGGAAATCTGACATTTGTAATGATTCATGTTCCAGCCATGCTACGGGAAGGCTGGATCACATCTGCCACTCTCCACCGTGCAGAGCGCTACCCCTTTTGAGCATGCCAACTTTTGTTTATTTTCTAACCAAACACCTTGGACTTCTTCCATTGAGAGGTTTTCTTAAATGAACAGACAGTGAAACATGTCTTGATCTCACAGGGATGAATAATGACTGAGCTCGGGAGACCGGGAAGAAAAGGCTGAAACTACTTAAACAAGAAAAAAAACCCAAAAACCTGGGATTAGTAATTCTTGTCTCCCTGATCGACTAATTTGTACATTCGGAGTGTTGCAAAATGTTAACCTCCCTGTGTCTTGGGCTACATCCAATTTCAGCTTAAACCSGTAAMGAAGAAAACACTTTTTAAGAGCACRGAGAGCTTTAGCTACTGCTGTGTAAATCTGTAGAAACCAGAGGTGAAGTTTAAGGGAAACCCCAAAGTCARCTACAGCTTAAATTGCTGTAAAAAGCATGTTTCAGGAGGGGTTACCTGAACCTGAAAGATGATCAGCCAAGACCCCAACTGAGAGTTGCCTGAATTCCCAAACTGTGCCYGGAATAACCATGTGCTGCCCATCCCCAAGGCTGCACAGGGTGACATGTCTGCCACTGTGTAACTACATGGMACTGCAGGCTAAGCACAATACAGAAAGTCCCAGACACAAATTAAACCTTTCTGTTACAGGAATTTGCTTTCAAGCTGATTAAGAGTAGCTCAAGTGCAAGGGATTAAACATGTAAAGGCTGCTTTGAGAACTCCAATAAGCAGTTACTGTGTTATACAAACAGTACTTAGGGCAACAGCAGTTCCAGCCCTGCCTCTTGCTCTTTGCAAGCTGCTGGTTGCTGCTGAAAGGGGACTGTCAACACACGTACAATGTGATTGGAAATAATCTAATCTTGCTTGCACGCCTTTCCTTTGTCTCTTAAAAAAAAGGAAAGTGGAGTCATTCAGACGTCTTTCTGCAGCCTCCCTCTGCAGTCTCCCTTGTTGCATTCAAACGTCGAGGGTGATGGGGTGATGTGAGAAAGAAATTCCTCTCCTACATCCATCAATGACATCTTTACCAATGGCAATTTCCCAAGAAACACAACAACCACCATCTGTAGCCCATCTAGCCGCCCTGTACATATCCTTGAAAACAGACACAGCCCAGACTGGCTATRGTGAACCCTGCCCCATATTCCTGCAAGAAACACTGCAAAAGCACCACCACAGGAATTATACATGGCAAGAMGCTGAGAATTTCAGAGTGAGTTGATGAGTCCCAGAGAAGAGTTYTGAAGCATCAGCAAAGGGAATGAGTAAAGAAGAGCAGGACTTTACAGCACTAGGCCCAGACAAAGAAATAAMTAAATTAATGTCAGTAAATATATTGTGTGTTTTTTAGAATTTTATTTCAAATTGAACTTTTAGGCTGCTGCATAATGTATTGTGGATATGCAACATATCATAAGCAAGAGAGAATAAAGCACTTTGCATTGACAGCGATAACACTGACACTGGTAGAGTGCTTACAAGGGAAAATCAATATTTAAGTGCTAATTCTTTATCCC